TCCGTGATCCATCGCAGGTTCGCGAAAATCGCGCAAATCGCGAAAATCGCGAAAATCGCGCAAATCGCGACAAATCGCGAAAATCGCGAAATCGCGAAAATCGCGAAAATCGCGCAAATCGCGAAAATCGCGAAAATCGCGCAAAAAATCGCGGACTCTGACACCAGCCTTACCGCGACCAACGCTTGGAAGTGTGAGAACAGATTGAAAAATAGTTATAAAAAATTCAAGTGAAATGAACGAGAAAAAGGAATGAAAAAAGAATGAAAAAAGGGCCACTGCTCAGTCAGTGTTGCTGCACAGAAAGAATCTATCGAGACTGGGTGGCCCACCGGTGGGCCACCCGGTCTCGATAGACTTTAGAATAAAACTGAACTTTAGAATAAAACTCACAGCGGAGACTTCCATTTTAATTTGCCCCTCATACGGAATTTCTTGTTCTTCATCGCTGGACATTCCAAGGTATGGCGCACTAACGACATGTCCAAGGTGACCAGTACAACAATCATAAATGATTCTTCCATCCGTTAGCTCCGTTACCTGAGAATGTTACATGACAAAGGACAACAGCATCACTTGAAAGATGAAGAGCCACCTTCAAAAAAGCAGGACAATGCGAGACCACTCTTTTGCTCCTACTGCGAGATTCTTCGGCACCAGCGTTTACTCCGGGTCCTCGGGCATGCTTGCATACATATAAATGCCGTCTTCCGTTTTTGCACTCTTCAGAGTGCCTCTTTGAGAAAACCGTGGTCGTTGCCCTTTCAAGAGACGTCTTCCATGCCTGACAACTGACAACATAAGTCAAAACAATAACAAGGTGAAATAATGTTTCACCTCGAACTCTTCTACGGAGTCGAAAGTCCCGTTGAATATTGAAAAGTATGACGAATCTGTATTCTCATCACAATGCGAACTTTCACAATGTTTCGCCAGATCCTGGTGACGAAGAAATCGTTGATCACATTGCGGGCACACAACCTTCAAGATACGCAACAATCTAGGACACTCCTAAACTAAAGCAACTTAGATTTGAAACGAGACAGGCGACTGAACAACACCTTATGTTTCTTGAGACTTCTCTTGGACGTGAAGACTCTTTCACAGTGGTTGCAAGAGAAGCGTGCTCTTGCACCATTTAAGCGCAATTTTTCCTGGTCGATCTGTTCCTCGCTCCAGCCATGTGTTCTTCTCAAATGCTTGTAAATATTGGACAAACACTGAGGCCCTAATCCACAAACAATACATAACGCAGTGGTGCGCATCCTGGAATCCATTCTTTTGTTTTGCTCTAGATGTATGTTATGTTTTTGAAGCAACAGTCCCAGCAGGGTTTTTACCTTCGACACTAATGGTGTGGAACGATGCGCTAGCCCTAGTCAAGAACATAAGAAGTGTGACTGAACAAAAAACTCACCTTGGAAAGCCGCTGAAAGGGAGCTGAACGGCTTCGAAGTGGGCGTGGTTGGAAGTCGGCCGAGGGATTGCAGCCGATTGGCAACCACGCCCACTTCGAAGCCGTTCAGCTCCCTTTTCGAAGTCGTTTAGCTCCTTTCCAGCGGCTTTCCAAGGTGAGTTTTTTGTTCAGTCACACTTTTATGTTCTTGACTAGGGCTAGCGCATCGTTCCACACCATTAGTGTCGAAGGTAAAAACCCTGCTGGGACTGTTGCTTTGAAGGTTGTGCTCGTAACTTTTCAGCATTTGAGGTTACAGTAGGTAGCTACTTCGACCCCATTGTCGAACGAGACTAATGAACAACGCAAAAAGCAACAAAATAAAAAAGGACATAGTACGAAACAATCGCAAATTAACGAGAAATAAACTAGACAAAGAACTGCACAATAATGTAGAATCACTAATAATGCCCTGTGAGTCGGGTGGGCACACCGATTTCGAGTAGGAAGAACTTCTGTGAAGTGATAGACGCCATTTGCCTTGGAGAGGGAGCGGAGGGGCGGGAGCAGGCTGTAGGAACCCCACTATGCTACTGGAGCTAGACCTAATGTGGAGGGACGAGCTCCAAAGAGAATAAGAATTGCTTGCGCACCTCGGATTCCCTCTCCTCCAAGGTTTCTTCCCGAAAATGAGTATTTCCGTTGAGCCTGACATAGTTTTACAGGTCATCCCCCTGCGAGCGGCACTGCGCCATTTTGCTTATTCAGTGGATCAGCACACTACTTGAGGAAGTTATATCAATCGCGGTGCACCCACCAAATCATAACATATGGAATCTTCTGACGAAACGAGCGAAACTTCTTGACAACCAAGCATAGAGACATATTATCACAGGTAGATTGTTGACTGACAACAACTCATTATGATGCAGTTTTTTAGGCCCTGTTCAGAGATGTCCGCTTGCGCGAAAAAACGCATAGGCGAAACAATGTGAAATATGTATCGACTGAACGAAGACGCACAGGCGAATCGTGAAGTGGGAGGATCGACGAAAATGAGTATCATACGCATCGACTTACGAACGCTTCGCTCACGCGATTTTCCGCCTGTGCGTTTCTCACAGTAGAACCCCCCCCCCCCCCCACCCCCCCCCACCCCCCCTCCCCCCCCCCCCCCTTATCAAACTCTTGACTGAAATTCGCCTGCTCCGGACGTTTCGCTTACGCGTTTCACAATTTCTCAGTCGATGCGTATCTAAATCTTGGCGGAGATTTTCGCCTGTGCGTTTTTTCGCGCCGGCGGACATCTCTGAACAGGGCCTTAGCTTCAATCCTAAGCCATGGAGTCAAGCCCAACGAGGGAGGATCCACCTTGGGGATCCCTCCTTCCCCAACGAGGGGGATGTATCCCAAACCTTGGATGGCGATCCAACCTTGGGTGGATCTCCAATCTGGGATGGATCCCCAACCTTGGGATGTCCCCATTGGGGATGATCCACAACCTTGGGGATATTGTCGCCAAGGTGGAGATTCCAAGGTTGGGATCCATTCCCTCGTTTGGGGAGGGAGCGATCCCAACCTTGGGATGGATCCATGGGATATATCCCCAACCTTGGGGATATATCCCCAACCTTGGGGATGGATCCCCAACCTTGGGGATATATCCCCTACTTCGTCGCAAGACCCATCGTTTTTCGGTGGCTCCTATGACGCAACCGTGCGCGACGGTCACTGCCGTCGACCCTCTGCGTCTCTGCAGGCAGGGGATATATCCCCCTAGTCGAGACTAGGGGGATTCGTCCCCTCACTTGGCGACGCGGAGAGTTGAAGGCTGTTTCGGGTTCTTTCACCCTTTGTTTCGCTTCGTTATTCGCTCTTCTTTTTTCGTCATTACCTTGCCTTTGTTCATTCGCTGTTTTCTAATGAGGCTTCGATCCTCTTGTTTGTTTGTTTATTTGGCATCTATTCAGGGTTTGAGGAAGGGAATCGAAATCGATCCTCTTGTTTGTTTGTTTATTTGGCATCTATTCAGGGTTTATTTCACCTTTCCTACCCTATGTGTAAGAGCGCGTCATTGGAGGACATAACAAAAGTAATAAGTAGGTAAATAAATAATTAAATAAATAAATAAATGAATAAATAAAAAAAACTCGCCACTTCCTTGAAAATCAAGAAAACAATGGAATTTTTTGAAAACATGCCCAGTCCATCGGAGTTGCTGGATTCCCAAGGGATTGAGGGTGGCCGCTTTCATAGTTCACGAATTCGGAAGTTAGGCTGGTAGGCGACAGAATACTGGGATAGTGACATATTAGAGTTATTGGTGCTAACTTAGTTGGGGGGGGGCACGCGGCGGCGCGGCAGTCTGCTCGCCTGGCATGTTCGGAAATCCGTGGGCCAGGGGGAGTGTAGGCAGTCTAGGGGGTGGGGGGGAGGGCAGTCACTTGACATGCGTGAAAAGCTGGAATGTTCGGTTTTACCCTCTCTCGTTCGAGAGAGCCCAGGTGAGCAAACTGCCGCGCCGCCGCGTGGCCCCCCCAAACTAAGTTAGCACTAGATATTTAGCTGAAAAGGCATTTTTACTTAAGACTATTGCACTGAACCCCAAGGCAAAAAAGATATCTTTGAAACTTGGGTTGAGGGGGTAGTCCGGTGGTTTGATCACAAATATGACAATCGCTTTTGACGCTGACGCCCGTTCGCGCCAGTTTGGCGCCACACCATTCCCCACCTAATTAGTTAAAAACCTACCTTGACCGCGTGGGACCGGCGCGATTTTGCGAGCGCCGCCGCCTCAGGTCCATCGAGCGAATTTTGCGTGATAAATGTAAAAAACAAGATTGATACGGAATCAGATTAGTATTTTTCAGTCTGCAGAAACGCCCTAGAGGTGCAGTAGTAAGAATTTATCGAAATACGAATGAAGTAACGGTGAAAAAGCAAAATTTGTCTGAATTGCCTGCATTGGGCGTCAAAGGCAATTTAGCATCGATGTTTCTAATCAAAACATATCTTGTCCCGTTCAGGTTCCGTATTGACTTATACCACTATTTCGACATTCACATTAAATGAAAAGAAAATGCAAACAAAAAATCAACCAGACTGCGGTTTTCAGAAAACCTCCTCCAAAGTGAAGCATAGGTGACCATTCTGGGAGCCGCTATGTTTGTATCTATGCTAAGGTTTTCTCTATAGAATGGATACAAGAGACCTATAAATGAATCACGTGTGCGCGAAAATAAATGAGTGCATTGGGTGCAGGACGCATACGTCCCGCGTTGTCCGTCGTGGCCTGCAAAAGGCGGGACGTATGCGTCCTGCGCTGTCGTCAACGTGTTAATGGTCCGTGAGCCTTCGAGGTGCGGAAGCACTGGGTCCTGCGACGAAACCCTTGAACGATTCGTAGAATGTCGAGGATGGGGATATGTCCCCAAGGTTGGGGATGTATCCCCAAGGTTGGGGATATCCCCAAGGTTGGGGATCCCTCCCCTAGTTGGGTGAGGGGAGGGATCCCCAAGGTTGGGGATATGTCCCCAACGTTGGGGATATGTCCCCAAGGTTGGGGATACATCCCCAAGGTTGGGGATATATCCCCAAGGTTGGGGATCCCCCTAGTTGGGGACTTGCTGCACCCGGCCCCTGGAAAACTGCGTGTCAGGCCGCGCCGGCTGTGCGTGATTACGGTCACTGTAATATAGTTTACGGCAGACCTCGACCATACCGATCGGAGGTATACACCGAGATGCTCGCCTCTTTGAAAAAATTTCCCGCGCGCGCACGTTCAAATATACGTAGCACTGGAGCGAGCATTCAACTAGCTAGAGTGATTGGAGACACTGCAATTTCGTGCCTTTTCCCATATTTTGAGTTTGCTCTCCGCACTGGTACCACCGCAGGCAAGAGTATAGATATTCTAGCAGGAGAGCAGGAATGATAACTAGGGGATGCGGTCGTTCGCACGAGGTACTGGTAGGAAGCTCTTTGTCTTTGGATAGCAAGGTAATGAATTGGAAGCATGGGAGTTTAGGCACCACCACAAATGTACCTCTTCTTGATCCCACAAGAATCGATCATCGTTTTTCCTATCTCTTGTAGCATTGAATTGGTATTTTGCAAGACATTTTTTAAGAAAATGATAAAATGTCAGTATGTTGACGCTAATCTTCGTTAAGTCCACACCGGAGGCAACTCAGAGCGATTTATCGGGGATTTTTTCACTGCAACTGCTTGGATTTTGTGCTTCCATCCAGTAAGTCGTGAGAGCAAAGCCCATCACCCTTTCAAATATCTACAGCGGTGTTTTCAAAAACTGTTCACCAGTCAGTGACCTCAGCAAAAGTAATAATACATACCTGAAACGAAAAAGCGAGGAATCATAGGAACAGTTGTGATGAACTGTCCAACATAATTTTTTGACGTAAACTGCATTACGGGAAATAAGTGGACGCTACTTGACTGCCAGAGCTACTTGACTACTAATTAGTGTCTACAGGTGAAAATCAGAAGGTTGCCTTAAATTTTCACCGAACGAAGATCTGCCGATATTCATGGGTTTCAGCAATGTGCTCTCAGGAGACGGCAATATGTTGAGTGCGCAAATCGTTTTGAATACAGTGACTTACTAGTAGGAGCTCAGTCACAGCCCCCCTTAGAGGCAGAGGTGGCAGGGAGCAATATCACCAGTTTGTCTAGAATATAAGAGATGAAGTACTCATCCTCAGTGGGGCTTGGTGGGCGAGAACGGCAGCATGCGACACACTGCATTAGGGTTATGGAAACGCTCAGTTTTAGGACTGAGCCTCAAAGGAGAAGAGTGGTTCCGAAGTGCGTGAGCAACCTTTCTCTCCAAAATCGTCTCCCTCCGTAGCTCAGTTCCAGAAAACCTCCTACAGACTGCACTCTCCCCCGTCCTCCCCCGTTTTGTAGTTACAAAAGAGCATTACCTAACGAAGAAGACAAACGCTGACTCTTAAGAAATATCCTTTGAGGAAGTTAATCCTTCATTGTGAACCACATCTACCTCTACAGTCGCATTCCTTCAGGATTTCCGTAGTGACTCTAACACCAGTATAGCTGGGAGAAAGCTCGCCCCAGTGCGACATCTGTTTAAACGAGCGCGCGCGGGAAGTTTTTTCAAAGAGGCGAGCATCTCGGCGTATACCTCCGATCAACAGTATACGATGGCGACGATCAATGTATACGAAAAAATTCAGTCACGTTATTCGGATAATAGTTCTTGTTTTTTGTTAGTTTAGGAAATGTTGCCAATATTTGTTGTTGCTTACTAGGTCAATACAGTTAATCCAATTCTATAATGGTAAGGAGGGTTGATTCTGACATGGTACCTGAGCCGATAAGGATTCAATGGAAATTAATTGTTCCTTAGTAGGCACATTCTCTATCACTTATCTTCTAGTGAGGAACGAATGTTGCCGGAATACTTATCATTTGTGGTCGTTTCTGAAATTCCTAAGTATCGTGCATAACAGCCTATGATTTTGTTCGAGCATTATCATATGGCGATTCTCTTTGCCCTACATTCGCTTTATATAAGGATTCTCAGTGAAAATTGTCGGAGTTATTCTCATTTCAGGCCACAAAAATGGCATCATTTCGCAAAGTGGTGCCGGCCTCGGCACTTTTACGACAAGGAGGAGATGACATGACAGAAAAGAAGAGCAGAACAGAGTATCGAAAAGAAAAGGATTTGGAGGTATATTCAATTATACTCATTCATTGGAATTATCAGTTTCTATTTACTATACTAATAGAAATTTTGATTTGTCACTACTTATTCTCAATCACACGTTGTAGGAAGAGCGTAAAGCCGGAACAGCGCCGGCTATGGTCGACGTGCAAACTGGACGAGATATTAATCCGCACATTCCCCAGTTTATTTCTCAGAATCCCTGGTATGTGCCCAGTGAAGGACCAACACTGCAGGTAACTGCTAGCCTCTAGTCGATCAATTGCTATGTTTTGGTATTTTCCATTGTTATTTACCTAATGGGCCTTATGTGCAGCTTGACGCTTCCATGCATATTTGCAGCATCAAAGGCCTCATGCGGAACGGCAGAAGGATATGGCTACCATCGACAAATGGTACAAGAAAGGTACCACTGGAAAGGCTGCCACTAAGTTCCGGAAAGGTGGATGCTATTTCGTATTTTCGATTCCTTATCATGGAGTGGCGATGATGTTCATGAGCAGATACAGCTCAGTACATGTGGCGCGTAGCTCCTATGTCCTCATCTCACGAAGTGTAGACTTCAGTAGAGTTATCTTAACCAAGGGCAACATTTGTCTTGGTGATAGAAGATACCTCAAGTGGAGTAGAGAAAGTGAAATAGCGCGTAAAAAATACTTCGTTAAAGGTCACATAGTTATGGGAGAGAGGGAGGGATTTTGCCGACTTTTCCGTTGGAGGGTGTACTACTGCTGTGGCCAAAACCTTGATGCGATGTGCCTCACTTTTATTTATTTCCGGTTGCGGTAACAGTTAGAGGCGGCGGGTTAAGAATAGGAACAGTCCTTACTGTGAGCTGAGTTTAAAATTTCTCGAAGAGATCCGGAAAAAATAAGCATGTTGAAAGCTTTTGATCTTTCGGAAAGATCCGTTAAGATTGTGTCTGACTTTTTTCACTTCAATTCTATGAGTGCTGACTCGTCACGCGATTCTTCTCCTCCAAATTAAGTAGCTTTTGTTTTCCTACGTCACTCGCAAAATTAATTTATATTGAAAGATGCATTTCCTTAGTTTTATCGCAAGTATTGATTCCTATGTACGGTAAATTACAGGTAAAAGCTTGAATGATTGCTTGGTTTAACTTTAGGAGCTTGCGAAAATTGTGGTGCTATGGGCCATATCAAGCGCGACTGCTTCGAACGTCCAAGAAAACTGGGTGCAGCGTAAGTTTGTTTTCTTTTTATATGTCGGTTTCGTCCTTAGTAGGCTTTTTACAACTGGTGAACGTTGGTGAAGTGTAATCATGGGCCGTGATATTTTCCCAGAAGGAAGTTTTGTCATTGATTGTGGCTTCCGGATAGTGCTTTACCTGAAGTTCTCGTCCTGAGTTACCATCCTCAGGCACGTCAAAAATGGTGAAAAATTGAAACACCCGTTATCCTTCCGGTTGTGGACGAGTTATCATAGCTTTTAAAAGCACAACCACTTTGAAAGCGAAAAAAATACAGCGATTAGCTATCCTCCATTACCGTTCTATTCTTTGTGGTGACTTTTGCAGCGCCATGCTGTGAAACAAGACGATTTCTCCCAACTATTGAAAAGCCTGTGCAAATGTTCAAAAGTTTGTGAAAGATTATCGTTGAAATAAGCTGACCAGCTCACAGTCATGTTTCCTTTTTCACGGTGCTAGATAATATTAACGGAAATTCTGCTTCATTAAACCCGGCTATCGATTATCGCCTTCCCTGATGATACACGTATCAACCGATACTTGTTCTCTGAGGTTTGATCGCGACCAGAGAGATTAGACTGGAAATGCTCTTGATCCTAGCCCGCCCTAGGCAGAGTATGCCGTTTATCCGATATTATATATTATAATTTTCCTGAATCACATTTAAGGTCATTACGGAATTCGAGCACTTGGAGGAAACAAGGAAGGCTATCAAGGCAGAACAGGTGTGTTTGGTTTTCGATTCTCATTTTGCGTATATTGTTTGGTTACAACTCCGAGCAAGTAATAACATTAAGATTCCGCCAGCGACTTTCTGGACCCCGTAACTCGCGAAAGGAGTCTGACGATGACAAATACGCCTAGAAGATCAGACATGCTGGAGATACTGGACATGGACTCGCAATAACCTTCAATAACAGTATTACTGCTCCTGCTGTAATCAGTTGCCGAATCCTCCCGTTATTATTTATTCCTTTTCTCATTGAACTTGCAGGTTCGAAATTTGAGAATTCGTGAAGATACTGCCAAATATCTCTTCAACCTGGCTGAAAATTCACCTTATTACGATCCCAAATCCCGATCGATGCGAGAAAATCCGTTTGCTAATGTGCAGGGAAAAGAGAAGGAAGCGGCCAAATTCGCTGGTGAAAATTTCATCAGGTATATTTTTTATACTTCCACTTTTTACCTACTACATTAGATCGAAGATTATGAACGTCTTTCGTTTCGTAAAATGTCTCCGTACCTCCTTTCTTTTCTCACCTTACTTAAATTCTCCTGTTTTTTCTTTTTCATTTGTACTTTTATGTTGTGTTCTATGTTTGAGTAATAGATTTCTCTGTTACATTTCGTATGTCGAGATTAAGAGTATATCCAATGTTGGCCATGTTTTTTATTGATATTCATTTCCCTTCTCACCGCGAAGATTCTTCAGTTACACTGGCAGGTCGTTGAGCCCAATGAGCACAATATTCGCATGCAATGCACGATCCAAGGTATTGACGTGCATGCACTCTGCTGACCGACCAATTAGAAGCCGCCTGAAGAAAGAATTCAATAAAGAAAATCCAAGTACCCGACACTGAACAACAACAAGGTGTATTTTGATTATTTTTTTTCTTAATGTTAGGCCTGAGCCACGGGCGGAACGTGTTTGTAGTGTAATGCACGCTCACCACCGACGTCCGGGGATCAAATCCCTGGTCGTTCCATCCCATTCCGCTCGGTTAATTGGTACCAGACTTGTCTGGGAGGATAAAAACACTGACTTGAACATCGGCTGGCCCCCGCAAGTCATTGTATAGGCCACATCGCATTCAAATGCCACTGCGAATGTACAAATGGAAGTAGAATGCGTGCCGCATCCCAAAAAGGGATTGATCAACGGCAAATGCTTTATCCTTTTATCTTTAATCTCAGACCATCAGTAGAGCAGATTATTTTTTCACCAAGACCTGCTGAGAATAAGCTGTTACTTTTGTTGTATTCTTGTTCGTAGATGATTTATAGCAGGCTTTTGAAATTCATAAAAAGCGCGATACGTCATGGTGAGTAAAGGCGAAGCTGGGTGTGAACCCGCAAACCAATTTTTACTGACTGTCTAGCAATCGTTCTTTTTTAGGCGTTGCTTTCGAAGTATGGAGGCAGTGAATATCTTGAATCAACTCCAAAGGAATTGCTTTTCGCTCAAACTGAGCAGTACGTGGAATACAGCAGAAAAGGAAAAGTTCTGAAAGGTGCTGAACGTGCTCATGTGATGAGTCGATATGAAGAAGACGTGTGAGTTTTTTTTGCATTATTTGCTATATGGATAGTTGATAAGTTTCGACTTTAGAACCTCTGTGAAACTAGATTACGAATTCAGATATCCGATGAATCACACAAGTATCTTCGGTTCGTATTGGAAGGATGGCTCATGGGGCTACAGATGTTGTCATTCATTCGTCAAAAATTCGTACTGCATTGGAGAAGAGGGTCTCAAAACGGAGCGAGTACCGGAGCCAGCATTGCCACCCAAGAAAATTGATGGTGAGTCATTGTTGTGCTTGATAGAGCTGATGGCGTATGCAAATATTTCAAGAATATTTCCTTATTTTTCCTGAAACTAATGAACAAAACCGCCTCCTTCTCGACAGCAGTAGTGGTCCTTTTCATTCAGAAAAAAGAACTTGTAAAAATCGACTGTCCTTTTCTAGAACCACCAAGTGTCAAGGAGCAGGAAGTTCATACTGAAGCAGCGAAGGATGAGAAACCTGCTTCAAATGAATCAGCTTCATCAAGCTCCGAAAGTTCCTCTTCGGAATCGTCGAGCGAGTCTGAAGATTCCGAAAAGGAGAGGGAAATGGAGCGAGAACGAGAACGCCGTATGTTGTTCTTCACATTTCTTTTTTAAAATTTTTATTTTTTGTTATGTTGTTTTTGTGTGTAAGCAAAACTTTTGGACTGAACGATCCACGACATAGCAATGGATGCACCAGTTTAACGTCGTTAATGTGCTAGTTGATTTGTAGAGCTAGTTAGACTTTCTGCTTAATCAATACTCCAAGCTTTTGGCGATCAGCAGAAGTGTTTGTTGTTTTGAGTCTGTTACGTGAAACAACAAACCCGATGTTGTAGTTCATCCTAGCACAAATACTCTAACTTGCTTTCTTACGATTTTCACGGAGTCACTAACTGCTTCATAATTTCGAAGATGCGTTCCCATAACCGATTTTTATTCTTGTTTTTTTAAGGGAAGCAGGAAGCCCGTCGAAGAGAGAAGAGGAGAGAAAAGCGGAAGAGAAGAAAGCAGAAGGCTGGTGAACGACCGAAAAAAGTGAAGAAGGTAATTAATGCATTACACTTCACATTAATCGCGCATGCTGTAATGTGGCTTATGATTTAGTAACTGTGATATATGTTCCTGACATTATTATTGCTAAGTAGTAATTGTAATAATTGTTAAGGAGTCGTCCGAATCAAGTTCAAGCTCGAGTTCTGAAAGTGATCAAGAGGACGAGAAAAAAGAGTTGAAGGAGGCTTTACGGAAAATGGAGAAGGAGATGTTTGGAAGGACGCCAAAAGTATCTGCAGGTTAGTTGTTTTGTTGAAATTCCTAATAAATTGTTAATTTTACCGTATATTGTGCACATCTAGCAAAGGCATTGTCGTCTTGAATATGGGAGTAGCAAATGGCACCGGTCATGGATGACAATTAGGTTATCTACAATTCTTTTATGTGAGAAAAAAAGCCCATTCATGCTTTGTCCGGAAAAGCGTTTTTCTTTTTCCTCTTGCTCCGCTCTTTGTCATCAATAAGCCTAGCGAATGTTATGTCAACCAGCGTCATCTTCGGGACGGACTTGTATGGGGTTTTAGTGTACAGAGTGAATTTTGCACTCATTTGTGTTGTGCGAGAGATGAAGCTTCATGTCAAAGCTTACTATTAGCCGATGCCAGACTTTACGACTGGAGCGAATTCTGCACATATGATAGGGGCGATTAATCGCTTCCTGTCACCACGGGAAGCGACTATAATCGATGCACGTCCCTTTATTGCGGTACCTGGCGAGAGTATTACACGGGTACCACCCCCCCCAGGAGGCCCGTCGCGCGGCAAGAAGGCAGAGTCGGCGGACGAGTTGCAGCGCGTGGTGTGCGATGTAGGACGTGCAGTGGGACACTCTATTTAACTTGACGCGAAATCCCTATAGTACGCGCGCGACTCGTCCGCTGACTTTGCCTTCTTGCCGCGCGACGGGCCTCCTGGGGGGGGGGTACCCATCTCATACTCAGTTTTTTGAATGATTGATGTCTAGTGATGAGATGCATGCAATTCAGATTGTTTTTTGATCATTTTGGTTCTGTAATCTAGTCTGGTTACTGGGAAATAGGAATTACCTAGGGTTACGGATGGACACCTCCCCGCTCAAGGGTATCGATCGAAGTGGGCGTGGTGGCGGTTTGGTCGCTCCTTGCCACCAGACGACAATGCGGATTTGCACGTAGCGTGCTCGTGGGACCACGCCTCTTTTTGGCGCGCCCAACTCTCGCACAAAATGGGCAAAATTGTCCCTAAAAGCAGTTTTTCTATCAAAATTTTGACTATGACAATAACAAAATAACTGTTTT